TTAATAATAATTATAACAGTAATTATAACAATAATAACAATAAAAACAAAAATAACAAAAACAACCTCAGGTATAATCACAGTACTACACAGTAACACTAAATAATTTTTTGAAAACATAACACCCCATACCTTGAGCTTGAACACTTTGACATTGAAGTAGAAGAGCGTGTTTAATAGGACCTGTGGTGTGTGCGCGCCCAGCTGTCGACACTCCCACAGCATGGCTTCTGTTATTCTGGTTACGGGCATGGAGCAGGGGGATGACAAACCTGCAGACAGAAAGAGGGATGGGATAAAGACACTGACTGACCTAATCATGACAAAAGCCCTCAGGCAAAATAATGTGATAGTGTGCATGCAGAATCAGCTAATGATATCAATAATAAATGTAATAATAAAAATAACCATAATGTAAATTTGGTTTAAGAATTAATATACTTGCAAAATCTTTTATTGAAAAAAGACAGCAAGACTAATGTTCAAAATAATGTTTAAAAATTTCTTGAAGATTTTGAATAACCTAAACTGACACATACAATAGGACAAACAGTTAGGCAAAAAATAAATAAATAAATAAATAAATAAATATATAAATAAATAAATAAAAATAAAAATCAATCAATCAATCAAAATACCTCACTCTGTAACTTACTTGGTGATGGAGTAGATTTCAAAAACGTTTTCGTAACTTCATCGAGGCTGTTGGTGAACTTCTCAAATCCAAAATCCATGAAGATGCAATCTATTCTTGAACTTTCAAAAAGGTGCTGCTGAATACCTAGACAAAGGAGTGGAAGAAAGAGATAATGAGAGAGAAAAACGTGAGGGGAAAAACCATGAAGGTCCTTCCAAATCGAGCAGTGATAATATACAAAATACAAGTAACACAAAATACAGATGTGTTTTAGACATTTTAATACTAAAACGTGAAAGCCGAGTACTACTTTTAAGGAAGAGAGGAGAGAGGGAAGACAAAGGTGGGAAAGAGGGGATAAGAGTAAGGAGGGTAGGAAAAGAGAGGAAAAGTACAGATGGGAGGAGGGAAGGAAAAGTGTGAGGACGAGGATGGGAAAGAGAGAGAGAGAGAGAGAGGAGGGATAGAGATGGATAGGGGGTGAGTGAAAGAGGAGAAGGAAGAGGAGAGGAGGGGAGGGAGGAGGGGGAGGAGGAGAAGGAAGAGAGAGAATCAGTGATAAACATATATAACAAAATCTTCAAATACACACACGTGCATGCATGCGTGCACACACACACAGACACAGACACACAGACACACAGACACACAGACACACAGACAGACACACACACACACACACACACAAATCAACAAAAAACACAGTCCACCACAAAAGCAACAGTCAACTCCTGGCATGCGGCTACTCACCGAGGAGGAGGTAATAGATAGTATCTGGCTGGTAGGTTTCCCCATTGGGCTTCTTCAGATCTTTTAGGAAGAGACAGAGGGCATAGTTCAGTTCCTCACAATTCATGGTAAGCAAGTCCTCGGGTACGAGTTTCATACTACGTGAGGAAGAGACCCCAGCCAGCTCCGCGTTCTTTCCCGTCACCCAACGCTTCCACGCCGCCAGCCCATACATTTTCTGCATACACAATAAGCATGGCTTTGATTACAGGGGAGTTCAGCTATGTTAGGCTTGGAAATTATTAGTGAGACTTTTTTTTTTTTCTTTTAACTTGAATCTAGTGCCTTGTTCCTGAGAGGTTAAGCTCTCTTATGGTCTTTCCAAGACAACTCTGAACTTGAATTTTGGATCAAGCAATTAAAAGCAGAGAGAAATAAGTATAAACCTTCTTTCAATATTTCAAATTGTTATTAAGATAATCAAACATCTGTCTCCTCATAAAATAATCATTCAACCTATTTAAACAAGTTGCTTCTATACCTGATAAAATCATAAATGTATGTTTCTAGCTCTCCCCAAAATAATTTAAAAACTCTCAGCATGCACAAATTAATTTTCATTCATAATACCAATAAAAATTATAAATATTTCCTTATAGTTAAAATTTATCCTCTTCCACAACCAGTGTAATACATATAATGCATATAGCAATCAGTGAACATACCTGCCTAAAACTATTAAACAAAGAGGCAAATTAATGTTACTGAATATAGTTAATTCAATGACACCTGAGATGGGATGTGCATACATGCCATGCCCACAGTGAGTTTAGTTCCACAGTTATCATGGAGTCAATCACTATTTGTACCACTCTCATCTATCTACTCTTTTTCCTTGATTTTCAAAAATATCTTATTTTACTTCATATACCTATTATCATTGTCATTAACACTGTAATAACTATAATGTCTTTAATAATAATAACAACATCAATAACATTAGAAAATTTTTAAAAATCAGAACTTAAGGAAAGGGCAGATCAGGAGAGATTACATATACTAACAGACTCCTCGACAGCTGAGCATTTATGGAGGTGTATATGTGTATTTCACAACAATACTAAAAGCAAACTTC